AGCCGCAGTGCTTCCCAATTACTATTTGCCGGCGTATAAGACGACCCGGCATATAAGACGACCCCCCCAATTGGAGGCATCTTTTTCAGGGCAAAAAAGTCGTCTTATACGCCGGCAAATACGGTAGTCTTCACTGGGTGTGGATGTAAGAGAGTCATCAGACATACAGTGATATGAAATAGTAAATGCATGCCATATATATTTTTCCCTTTTTAACATATGCGGGCATACCAATGTTTTATCTTCAAACAGTGTAAGATGATAAATATAATGTAATTGAACAGAAAAACCCAGTGGAAAATATTCAATAAATATTGAGTAGATAAAGATTTTCTTATGTGGCAAAAGTAAGCAAAACCTGAGATTTCCCCTTTTGACCGAAACAATATTTAAGTAGAACCCTCCATTTCCTCTTTTTCAGCCAGTTTGGTGGATTTACTAAAATGTTTATGGTTGCTGTCACTTTCTTTAAAGCTTCCATCTTCTAGCTGGTGATTTCCCATTATCCTCCAGCACCTTGGATACAAAAATAGATTCTGTGATGGTAAACTGCTCAGGCCCCGATGCAGCAAAGTAGCCCCAAACCATAACATTTCCATCACTATGCTTTATAGCTGGTATCAGGTTCTTCTGATAAATGCTGTACTTTCACCAAACGTGTCTCTTGGTACTTACCCGTATCATTAGCGTTGCCTCTTCTGTCCAGAGCACATTGTTTCAGAAATCCTGGTTCACAGGCATCAGGACCTTTTTTTTCTGAAAGCTTCAGAGAGCTCTTTTGGCATGGTGATACCATCACAATAAACATCTCAAGTTTCATTAAGGGTTTGCCTAGATTTGCCTATATCTGGTACATATGATTATAATTTTTTACAATTCTAATTTTAGGTATGTGAGGTAGTGACAAATGCAAAGGTATACTTATTTTTTTTCCAGTAGTGAAATTTGCATTTTTATTCATTTACATTACACCAGTCAGGCGGGCGGATGAGTGACCATCGGGCGGGGCAAGCGAGCCAGCGGCGACTTGGTGACTAGGTTGGGGGCGTGGCCAGCCATAACTTACTACCAGTTCGGCGACCCACACCAAATCCTTGCTACCGGTTCACCTGATCCAGTGCAAACCGGCTGAATACCAGCACTGCATTATACGATGAACTACAAGATGTGTTTCAGTTACTTTTTCACATGATTGTAACTGAAAGACTTCTAGTTATTTTCCCATAATTTGTCCATTGCTCCATGGAAGCTCTTGTATTGATCAGTGCTTGCAGAGTTCCAATTGTACACCTACAGCTGTCCCTCTGTTAATATCTTTTTCTAGATTATTAATATATTGACATTAGTCATAAACTTTGATGTCTCTATTTTTTCATATTTTGAAAATTAAATTTGGACAATTTCAATTAATCACAGGCTTGTCACTCTTGTGATAGGTTTTCTTGAGGATATTCGTGGCAAGAAAGTATTCTCCCCCCTTAGCCACCTATTGCTATGAGAGTGATGGGGCATAAGGAGAAAAATTTGGGCTAGTTTCAAGTTGTCAAAGGGAATTTTTCTCCAGAATCTTACTATGTGACTGTATTAATTTTAGTAAGATAGTGCTTGTTATCTTGGGCTGATCAGTTGTCGTTATGCTTTGAGGGGAAAAAAGAGAGGACAGTTTTAGTGATGAAAACAAATTCATTTAATGATAGCTGGTGTATAATATGATTCAATAAAGGATCTATACATTTAAATCATAAAGTTGTCTAGAAATACTAAGTACGATTTTTATTTGTTATCAATTTATTTGAAAATAATCAATTTTCTCAAATTGTTACATTTTTTCCTACTTAAAGTCTTATCTAAATTGAAACTGGTTATAAAATTAAAACAAACTGAAGGTGCTTCTTTTAGCCTTTAAAGCCCTTTGTGATATAAAGCTTTCTGAGAGACTGCCTTTCCCCAGTTATATCACCCCAGCCCATTAGATCCAACAGAGACAGCATGTTGACAAATATGGGTCCTATCAGCAAGGACCCATATTTGGCACATCCCAGATAGCAGGCCTTGTCTTCTGTGGCGGCCACCTTATCAACATTCTCCCCACTCCACCCCTCAACATTAGGTTAGTTCTGTCCCTTTTGATGTTCTAGAAGTCCCTCAAGACCTTTTTATATCATCAGGGCTGGGGGTCCCAGGGAACTGCAGACTTGTTTAAATAGCTCCACTATTGAGGTAAATATACTTTCTCTTTTTCTTTCTCTATTTGGGGTTTGTATATATAGTTTTCATTATCACCATTTTTAATGCCGATTTTTCTATTTTTAAATGTCTATTTTAATGTGTGTGTTCTTTATTGACAATTGCACATTGCCAAGAGTCACTTCTCTTAGGATGGGCATCTATATAAATTTGACTAATAAATGAACAAATAATCAAAAATTAGTAAATGTCCTAAATTAAGTACTCTTTCTACATTAGGTACCTTTCTGAATTTCTGTATGCATGGCTAATGTCAACACTCAGTCGTGCTGATAGTTCTCAGATGGCTGAAGAAAGAATAATGGAGGAGCAACAGAAAGGCCGGAGTAATAAAAAAACGAAGAAAAAGAAAAAAGGTATATTTTTGAGACGGGTCTTGCAAATGCTTTATTGTTTTGCTTGAGGCTTCTTTTATGACAATCTGAACTTATGGTTGTCTTTTGAATGTTCAGCTACATAGAACCATCAAAATCTAAATTATATACATTCTTCCAAGTAAGCTGTTTCATTATCTCCAACCTCATTCTTTATTTGATTATTGGTGTTGGAGCACTAGAAGAAACATTAGTAAAAAAAAAACCATGTATATGAGCTAAGTTTATTTTGCAGTATTAGATTTCTTCTTGCGCTAACCACAATCTGTCAGCAGTTAAAAATAGCCTTATAGTAATCAACAATACATTAAAAGTATGACGATACCCATAGCATAGACATTGTAAAATAAATTAAGCAACAATAATAATGGAATATGATCTTAATTTCTTATTGTGTTCTTGAATAAGTTTAGAAGTTTGAACTTCTCTTTCCACTAATTGCATTTTCCACTGAATAATTTTTCTAGTGTTTTTCCCAGATAGGCTTAATTTTTTCAGTTTTTTAGATGCATCAGGAATTTCATAACTCATTTGTCAAGCAGTGTAGCTTGCTTTTATCATTAGAAGAAAAAAGTAGGTCTCCCCCAATTGTATAACTTTAATTGTTTACAACTCAAATGGCTTATAAACCTGAGTAAAATAAAAATATTTTCCGATTACTATTTTTGTCACTCAGCAGTATATTAAAAAGTGGCATTTTTGAGAGAATATTTAGCATGTGTGTCTCACAGTATAGGTTCTGCAGTAGGACCGTTGCAAATTCTATAGAACAATAAGTATACTTTTTCAGATTATATAGGTTTTAAAAAATATTTCAGAAGTTTTATGGTAATGCTTTTTCTATGCATAAAATTTACAGCTCGTCCTCTGAGCAGAGAAATTACAATGAGTCAAGCCTATCAAAATATGTGTGCTGGAATGTACAAGGTGATGTATTACACATTATGTAATTCAATGAGTTTTTTTTTTAATTACATCTCAATAAAGGGTACATTTGTATACGCAAACTGGCTGGGGAATTCTAGGAGTTGAAGTCCACAAGTCTTAAAATTGTCAACATTGCACACCTCTGATCTAGGACTTTTAACATAAGAACTTTGAGTTGGACCAGCAATTTTTGGTAACTAATCCAACAAGCAATGCATTGGTGTTAAATTACTAAACCTTGTAACCAATAGCAGCTGGGCTACCACACTTTGAACCATCTTCAGCAGGGGTGTCAAACTGGATTTCGCGAGGCCCCCACGGCCCATTTTCGGCTGGCAGTGTGCTTCAGGAGGCCGTGGAGGTTGAAAACGGGCCGTGGGAGGCCATATGAGGCCCCCCACGCCCCATTTTGGATGGCAGAGGCACTGCAGGCTGGTCCTTTAATATTTCCAGGCTGGTCCCATGGGCCAGATTCAGCCCATGGGCCTTGAGTTTGACATTCCTGATCTACAGTTTATTCGTACATTTCAGTAGTAGAGTCATGCGTTGGTAGTATGAATTTCTGTTGAAAGAGCTAGTTCCATTTAGTTCCAGTGATACATTTATGAATCATATTTCATGAGATAATTACTAGGGTGGAATGTCAAGAGTCATATGCAGTTGTAATCAGAAATACAGACCATTTTTCCAAGTATTTCTAACGTGTGTGTGTGTGTGTATTTGTTTTCTTAAGTTTTCGCGGGTAGTTACATGTATGGTATTCAGCTTTGTTCGGGTATTTTCCCACGTCATTGTAGTTGTGCTTTTAAAGTTGTAGCAACTTCGGCAGAATCTCATCTGCCATCATCAGGCTTCTGTATTGTGTTCGTCGACGAACACAATACAGAAGCCTGATGATGGCAGATGAGATTCTGCCGAAACGTTGCTACACTTTAAAAGCACAACTACAATGACGTGGGAAAATACCCGAACAAAGCTGAATACCATACATGTAAGTACCCGCGAAAACTTAAGAAAACAAATATGTATGTATGTATGTATGTATAACACATATAAACATTTTCATTGCTGCGGTTGTAACAAGCTGCTTTTACTTTACATTTTCCTGAAGACTATGATTGCTTTTGACATGGATGGTAAAGTGAGGAAGCCAAAATTTGAACTTGATAGCGAACAAGTTCGATATGAACATCGGTTTGCCCCGTTCAACAGTGTCATCACACCACCACCTGTGCACTATTTACAATTCAAGGTGAATCATATTAAATCCATGTTATTTACATGCTTTACTTTATTTATTTTTTAAAAAACTAAACTGTCACAAGTCATGTTAATATTTTTGTCCTCGCAAGCAATTGTTCTTGGTGGTATATATTTCTTTTCCTTGGAATAAAGGCAAGAAACAGTAGTTTACATCAAGTCACATCACAAGCCTGCCTTTAAAATATGAAATAGCATTTCTCATGCCATGTTACTGATGTTAAAAAAATATGATAATTTGTTAGTCTTTACAGTACCAGAATTGAAGAAACCATTACCTAGTTATAAAATTATACATGAACTAATAATTAAAAGTTCTTCTGTATGCTGTTTCTTTTTATCAAACCACAACTTTAAAAAAAATTATATAAGGGTATTTTATTGTTTCAATTTTAAATGACATTTATTATTTAATGTTTAGGAAATGTCTGACCTAAACAAATACACTCCTCCGCCTCAGTCTTCTGATCTCTACATGGCTGCTAGCAAACACTTCCAGCAAGCTAAAATGATACTGGAGAATATCTCTAACCCAGATCATGAGGTAAACATATAACTATAGGACAGAGAGAATAAATTGAAACTTGCTTATGGATATTAAGTCTCCACTGAAGTAAATGCAAATTGTCTACATATCTCTGCAAACATAAACTCTTTGTGTTAAATGTGCTATTGTCCTTAAATATCTGAAGTTTTTGGAGACTTAATTGCTTGATATTTTATAATGGAACCTTAAGTCTTTTTTCTATATTAGTTTTGGGTTAACAAATGAAGTGCCTACTGATGGAAGTTATCTTAACTATGAAAGATGGTTGTTTTTATCTTAAGTCACAAATAAAAGTCTTAGAAGGAGTACGTTTGTAAATACTATTTAATATTAATTCTAGCAGTTTACAGAATGATATTGCTGATGTTACAGGGTCTCTTTAGATACTCCATAGGGGAAGTTTCTGTATATTCAAGATTTTAAAAAAAATTATAATAAACTAATTAATAAAAAAAATCAATTCAGTATTAACAAAGTAATTTAGTTTCGGATCAATCATAATAAAGAAAAATGGCTGGGGAAATCATTATAAGTAAAGCAACTGCTCTCCAGATTTGAAATTCCTAGTTATTATGGCGTTTATGCTTTACATATTATTGACTGTTAACTAGTCAGAAATCTGCTCTGCATCCTCTTTTTGTAACTTTGTAGTTTACTTAAAAAAGAACCAGAGAATTTGATCATCTCTGAATATGGAAAGAAGTCCATCTTTTAAAAGATGTTGACAAAAGCCTAGCAGCACTTTGCCTGCTTCCCCAGAATGCTGCAATATACCCTGGAATATTGTCAGTATTTGGAAAGCATGTCACTGTGCTTATTACTTATACATTAGAACAGGGGTGTCCAACCTTGGCAACTTTAAGATTTGTGGACTTCAACTCCCAGAATTCCTCAGCCAGCAAAGCTGGCTGAGGAATTCTGAGAGTTGAAGTCCACAAGTCTTAAAGTTACCAAGGTTGGACACCCCTGCATTAGAACAATATGTTTGTAAAGTGCATTTGTTAATATACAACTGGGTTAATAAATAAGCTATTATAGGGATATAAATATAAAAACTGCAAGGAATATTATTAAGTCTTCACTGCAACTGTTATTTTAACTACGCACACATAGTATGAAACTTGACTATCTCTTTCTAGGTCAACCGAATTCTTAAAGTTGCCAAGCCCAATATTGTGGTTATGAAGCTGCTGGCAGGAGGTCACAAAAAAGATTCTAAAGTAAGCAAATTGCAGTTAAATTAAAGCAGCTGCCATGGGAAACAAACGGAAGTTTGTCAAATGGGGGCAGTCATATTGAACTGTATCCAGTAGAAATCTGAAACATCTGTAATGGAGATACTCAGTCATCCAAGTCATAGTTGTCCCAAAGGTGCTTTTTCAAGAAGTAACTGCACATTCTGGGCTTTGTTTGTTTTTTTGAAGACATTTCACTTCTCATTGAGAGCTAAAGAAGTTTCTTGGATGAGAAGCGAAACGTTTTCAAAGAAAAACCCAGAAAGTCCAGTTGCCTATTGAAAAAGCACCTTTGGGACAATTGTAATGGAGGTTTGGGGCCTGGCCAGAAACAAATTTAGGGTGTATAGTATGGATCACGGGTGTCAAAGTCACATTGTCGTCACATGATGTTTCATGACATTTTTCCCATGAGAGCTGGGGTTGGCATGGCCTGCGCGTGATGCATTCAGCACGTGGGCCACTCTCGCATGACTTATATAATACTAAAGTACCCGTTGCAAAGATATCAGCGCTGCAATTTCATGTCTGATTGAGGTACTCAGTTACATGTGATGATCTAAAATTACATTAATGGAACAATTTCTACAATTATAAAGAATATGTGAAGAATATGTGTTTATTCAGAAGCAACTTCACTGAATTTTCTTTAAATTTCATATGTCCATCTTTCCCTCTCACCTACCCCTTTGGAATTTTTCTGGTATAGTTGATATTTTAAAAATCCACTTGGAATGACAAAATTCTTGAAAAGCTATTTTAAATGGAGACTAATATATATATGTTTATTTTTCCAGGTTCCTCCAGAATTTGATTTTTCTCCTCATAGATATTTCCCAGTAGTGAAACTTGTTTAGGAGGACAGGTAAATTATAATTTGCTCGGAGAATCTCCTTTATGCTATGCTGAAAAAGGACAGAAAACTCTTGGTCAAAAGTACTCATATCAGGAGCAATTTCATTCAGTCCTCCTAAACAGCTGGAATAACTGCTGTTTTAAAATGGTTTGTATGTTCTTCTGCTGGAGCTGATTTGATAAGTGCATTGTTGAAACAGTTTTTATTTTTTATTTTATTGTACGTTTATAAGTCATGAATGGTGTTGGAACATTTCATAACATGCTGAAAATACAGTGCAATAAAAGAAACTGTTTTGTTTTGATATGCATAAAAATTCATTTGTAAACAAAACAAATTCATTGGTCCTTCTGTCCATTTGCCTCTGATCAAATATTAAAGTTCCACTCAATGAGCTTGGCTAGCTGTTACTTCTGATCATCATACTATTGGACAAAAAAATACTTCAAAAAGAAGTATCTTGTTTTTGTTTTTTTCATGTTCTAGTCCTAGATAGATTATATATCCTTGGGAAACACTAGACAGTTTCTGCTCTTTACTTTTTGTATTTTGATTGTATGTCGCTCTTGCTAGTAGTTACCATCTACAGTTTGATCAGTTTTCATTGTTTTCTAACATTTCTGCAAAGGGCCCTTTTTGCTAGGCTCCAGAGGTAGGCAGAGAAAGGTACAGTGAATATAAAAAGTACACTTTTGAGATGTAAAAAAAATCAGAGCAAGAAAAATAACTTTTCCCCCTCTTTTAATATAACATATAAATTGTACAATTTAATTGAAAAACAAATAAGGGGGGAAATAAAAAATATACAATAACATGGTTGCATAAGTGCACACACCCTTTATAAGTAGGGATGTGGTTGTGTTCAGAATTAATTGCATTCAGACTGATATTAAATAATTCATACCTGACATCAATTAAGATGACTCTGCTCGATGCCATATTAAGTTTAGCTGTTAATAGGATTTTTCCTGACATTTACTCAGTTGCTTTTTACAGCAAAAACTATGACCTGCAAAGAGCTTATAAAGCACCAAAGTGATTTCATTGTTGGAAGGTATCAGTCAACAGAAGGATAGAAAATATGGCACAACAAAACTTCCGGTTTGCAGGGCTTCGGCGGCAGGCAGGAATCCGCGATCGTGCGCGGTTTCTGCCTGGGCTCGCCGCTGGAGCTAAGCCACCCCGTAGAGGTGGTGAAGAGGGGGGAGATTGCCAGCAGGGTCGAGGGGAGCCGCATCTCTCCTCAGCTGGCCAAACTCCCTTTCCCGAAGGCGGTAGGAGCGGTGGCCAGAAATGGCCACCTCAAAGCAGCACTCAACCGGAAAAGAAAGTGCAGGAGGAAGATAAGAAGTGAAAGTTTTGGTTGACCGGGATAAAAAGCAACAACTAAGGTACCCTGGAATTTAAATTTTATAAAAGATAAATCGCTCCCAAAGAAGAGTCGGAAGCAGCGAAAGAAAGTGAAAAGGGAAAGTTTTTTTTCCTTTACTCTCCTTCCTCACATTGACAACGAAGAGAGCTGAATAAGAAATCGGAAAAATCCGCTTTGGCACTAAATGCCAAAGGGACAATAAAGATTTCTGGACACTAAAAAATCCTTTTTTTCTATAAGGAGGAAGGGAGAGGAAAAGAATAAAGGCAGGATTTGGAAGGAGGAGACTGCCTGGACTTTAAAAGAATCTAAAATAAAATCTCAATAAGACTTCTAAAAGATACATTTTAACTGGAACTTTGGAACTAAATAGTAACCCCAGGAAGAGAAAGTGTGCTTGGTGACTTTGGGATTTTTGGATATTATATTTGAATGACTAAAAACAATTAGGTGGCTGTTTAAAAAAATTCTACAATGGCATCACTTATGGATGAATTGAAAATGGAATTTAAAAAATATAAAGAAGAGACACAAGAAGGGAAGGGCTTTTTTGGCTCCGTTTTTCAGTTCTTAGAAATAGCGATCTGCATCTACGAGAAACAACAAGAAAAGACTGCGCAACTAGAAGATTGGGACAAAGAAGAAGCCATCTTTAATGAACAAGTAACTCTATTTGGGGAAGAAAGGGGAAAGGGGGGAAAGAGAATGGAGAATTTAAGACTTAAAAAAACAGCCAAAAAAGGGAAAAATAATTTGAAAAGTGGATATAAAGTTGGAAAGCAACAGAAAAGGGGAATACAGAAGAGGAAAATGGAGGTGGAGAGACGGGGGTAAAAAGGGGAGAAGGAAGAAGAAAGGGAAGAAGGAAAGGAAGAGAAGTTACAAAGGTTTGGAGCAAGATGTAAAGAAGCAGGACTTATTCAGAGATAATGGGTGAAAATTTAACTGAAAAAGGGATTCTGTGAAGGTACATAAGATTGTATTGTTATATTTGTAATAGAAATAATGTTAGAAAATTGGAAACAACGTATGATTAAAAAGTGGGATAAAATAGTGTAATTTAGTGAAACTTGTGAACAAAATAAATGAAATAAAATAAATGAGAGAATAAGAGTGAATCAGCATTGCATGGGTATTTTAAGACTGGGGATGGGTTCTATCCCTTTAAGAGGTGTTTATATAAGGTAGCCATTATAGAGGGCATGTTCTCTCCTTGTATCCAGTATCCAGAGCAGAGTTTCTCTGTGTAGAGTTAAGGAATTTGCCTACCATGTATATGTCTGTATATAATTGTTGTATTATAATTATTGTTAAATGTCTAAAAAAAAAAGAAAAGAAAGAAAAAAAAATGAGAGAATTGACTTAGGAAGGAACGGGAACATTTTAATTACTCGATGTTTTATAAAATATAAGTGAAGTGGGGGGAATTAACTATGGAAAGTTTATATGTGTTCCCATAGAAGTATGATACTTATCTGAAAAGTAATGTGTAAAACGTTAAAATTTAAATGAATATTAATATTAATGATAGAATTGAATTGGTATGGATTGTTGTTTTAATTATATTATGCATTTATAATTTTTTTCTTTTTTTTAAATACAGTGTGTAGTTTTAGAATGTACCAAGCAGAATCCAAACTGAAGTTATGTCTTATATTAAGTGTTATAATTTTAGGGGAAAGATATAAAGGTGTCATACTCCAATCAGTGATTACAGGAGAAATTTTGTTCAATGAGAAAAGATAGTAGACAGTTGAAACAGGACAGACAAAAAATATAAATACAATGATTTGAATTGAGATGAAATAAATAAAATAAAATTAAGAAAGTTAAAAGAGGGGAGAAGCTATATAGAAAATGTAGAATAGTAATAAGATATGGAATGGAATATAAAAATGAGCATGAACTTGAATTTGTGTCTGTACGAAGAGATGTAACCCGGGATTATGCTGCTTTCAAAAAAGATGTTTTATGTTTTGTTTGTTTACGTTTGTTTTTAAAAATCAATAAAATTTTCAAAAAAAAAAGAAAAGAAAATATGGCACAACGGTGACATTACCAAGAATTGGATGTCCCTCCAAAATCGATGAAAAAACAAGACTGAGCCCAGAGGCTGCCAAGAGACCTACAGCAACATTAAAGGGCTGCAAGAAGTTCTGGCAAGTGCTGGTTATGTACAACCTGTGACAACAGTCTCCCATATTCTTATGTCTGGGCTGTGTGGTAGAGTGAGAAGATGGAAGCCTTTTCCTATAAAAAACTTACACACACACACACACACACACACACAAAGCCTGGCTACATTTTGCAAAAAAGATACATCAGGTCTCATCCCACATTTCTCATGTGGGAAATGTGTTATGGTCTGATTGAGACCAAGGTTGAACTTTTTGGCCTTAATTCCAAAAAATATATTTGTC